GATCCAGAGACATTTCAAATGGGGACGTTCCCAGCGCCTGGGGTCTTCCTCCTTCCCAGGTCAAATTTGAGGTGACTTGTCTCTGCAGAGATTTAAGCTGTCTGTTCAGGAATCCTTCTCTGGCCATGCTGGTCTTCTCAGTCTGGGTTTCGGCGTCTAGTTCATGCCCTTCTGGAAAACGGGCCCCTTGGTGCTCAGGCTGGGTTGATGGTCTGGGCTCCAGTCCTCCGGGCTTGTGGCCCCTCAGACTGCCCACCCAGGGCTCCCAGTTATGACGGAATCTGTGGTATTTAAATGATTCTGAGATTGTGGAAAGTCTCTGTTTTTCAGCCCCGCTGCCAAAGAAGAAGTCGTAAGTCGTCTGTTCTGGTTTCAAGGTTGTTTATTCTTGCTTATCTCTAACATGTTCTGCGGCCCTACCACAGGTTTCTCCTGCAGGGCAGTGTGTGGGGTTCTCCCCTCAGCAGGATATTACAATCATTAAATACCAGAAACTACCTGTGCTGTATTTACAATAATGTGCCAATGTTATGAACGAGCACAATAGGCTTTCTAATCCAATTAAAAAGATTTATTAATGGTAGAAAACGAAAGCAAATCAGCGCTGCGCTGGGCGGCAGTCATTCCAACTACCGCCCCTTCATCCCCTGTCCCCCCCCACTTATTGGGTCTTCTCTTCCGGATGTGTGACGTTCTGGTGTCTTTTCTGCGCAGGCGCACTCTGTTGCTAGGTGGTCGTTTTCTGCCTCTTGGTGGTCGTGGGATGAAGGCCAGTAGTCTTCCTCAAGGTTGTTCCTGTGATCTGGGAATTTTCTCAAAACAAGAAATGTTATCTCTAGGCACGTTTACTTGCATTTCACAAGAGTACATGTTTTGCTAAGTCCGTAACGGAACTGTCCTTGAAAGATACTCGCTTAGGTGCTTAGGTGCCTAGCAACATCAACTCCCTAAAACAGTTTCAACTCCCTAAAAAGTTTGTAACGGAATTGTCCTTGAGAGATACTTACTGGAATGCCTGGCAAAATGAGAACATGTTCAGACAAGTGAAAACTCTAAGTAAAAACTCTATTCTATGGATGTGAGAAAACTCTATATTATGAAGAAAAAGGCCCTATTTTCCTAACACCAATATCTGTCACCTACCTTGAACAGTGTGTCCCCAGGCTAAACCAACAGAAAAATGCCAACACCACAGTGAAACATGGAAGGCATGAAGAAGAAGAAGAAGGACAGGACATGCCAAATTTCCTCCATCTTTTCCCCTTTGAACCCCTTATCTAGAATCCTAAAATTCTACTTTTGCACCCATGCCACACTAATTCTTACCTATATCAAACACTCAGAGCTAGTGATTCATCCTGTAAGATTGAAAACTCTTTTCCGTTGACAGAGATCAGAGACAGTGTCTCTGGGGGCTCTGTACAGGGGGGTTCCTGACATCCTGCCAGGGTCTCAGACCTTCCAGGGCAGTCAGAGGGATGCCCTGGACTCCCACAGTTCCATGGGGAATCAATACAGGTGAGGAACAGGACTGAGCCTGGTTATGCTGCATGGAGTGCCCTTGTCTCCATACTTCAGGCTGTTTCTGAGGTGCCACATCTCCAGAAGTGCCTCCTGTGCAGAAGTGCCTCAGAGAGCTGTCACCTCCACCACAGTGTCCCCAGGGCCATGGCTCCCCTCGTCACTCTGAGCTTTCTCCTCAAACACCCTCCGCAGAGCGACTCTAACGGAGCGCTGGAAGCGGCGCCGCCGGCAGCTCCCCACCAGCACGTAAATCACCGGGTTGAGGGAGCAGTTCAGAACTGCCAGCAAAATGGAGGTGTGTTGTGGGAATAAATCACCAGAATCAGGGAGATGGAGGAAAACCTCCACGCAGAAAGGGATGCCGAAGGCGAAGAACAGCAGGACATTGAGCAGGATGGCCACAAAGAGCTTCCCTGGCTGCTGCCTCCGGGAGCCACAGCGCAGCTTGAGGAACAGAAGCAGGTTGGAAACCAACATCACAAAGGACAAAATCAGGGAAATACAAAGACAACACCTGCAAGGATGGTCTCAAACTTTTCAGTAAAACTGAGGTAGACAGAAGACACTAAAATCCCCATGAGGGTCCAGAGGGCCCCGCTGACGACGCCCGAGAGGTGCCGGGGGCGGTGGCAGCGGTACCAGATGGGGCAGAGGACGGAGACGCAGCGCTCCATGCTGAGGGCTGCCAGCAGCCCCAGGCTGCTCAGGTCAAACAGGTGGCACAAGAACCCCAGGACAAACACAAAATATCTATACTGATGAATACAAGGAAACAAAGATATGCAAAACGTTGTTAAGGTCAGAAAAGCCAACATAATCAGGAGAAACAGAAGGAGCAGGGAGAAGTCAGCAACAGCCAGATTCAGGATGTAGACAGTGAAAGGACTCTGCTTTGTGTGGAAGCCCAGGAACCACACGACCACCCCATTCCC